AAAAATGGTGGCCATTTAGATTTCCACTGTAGGACATGCGGTTGCACCCCCCGATTTGAGAATGCGTCAGTCATGACTAAGGCACGTGAAAAGACCGAAAGGGAGATTATTGAAGCGTACTTCATCAGTCAATATAATGACAAGTGCATAAGCATGCCTTTAGTTTCACTTTCGGACAGAGAAATGGTCTTCCTACATGGTCATGTGTAATGTTGTGGCTAACGCCTTGCATAGTGTTCTCTTCCATTTCTCTTCATTTGTTTTGTTGATTAGTGTTCTTGTTTTTTTTCCATGTGACGCTACGCAATGTATTGTATTGTTTTATGTTAATATAGTTTTTGACTCTCTAGGCGCACTGCTTCTTCGGGTTGCTCAATTGCGGCTGTTTGGAGTGAATATAAAATTGTTATTTTATTGTTTTATTTGGTGCTAAGCGCTATTTTTAGTGTTTTTTAAACAAAAGTCTCTAGAGTACTTTTTCATTTTTTTCACGCCTTTGTTGATGCTTGGTGCAATAAATAATAAAAGATAAATTTTAAAAAAGATGAGCGCACACCTTGGGAATACGCAGTTTAGATTGTGGTGGGTATCACTTTTGTATTTTGCCCTTGTTCACTTTTGTCATTGTGGCGGCAGTCAATTTCGGTTTGATTTGTTTGGGGTCGGCTTTGTTTGCGGCATCTTTGGTTTTGTGCGCATCGTGGAAGCGCAGCGTAGCATGCGTATATATTGGCTTCAAGAAACGACAATAAACAGTTGGTAGTCTGCGCTCTTTCCTGTCTCCCTTGTTTTCCTTCAAGCTTTTGCAGCAATTCCATTTTTAAGATTGAAGTTGGTCCATTGGACTGCTCGAATGTGGAGCATAACTGACAAGCCTTTGATGTTAAAGTAGATTGGAATGTGATCACTTCCTCGTGTCTCAACATCTGGAAACCACTTGACGTATCTCGCGAGGGAGTTGGAGACAAAAGCAAGGTCGAGACAGCTGCCGTATGTCACCCCGCGAAGAAAAGTGGGGCTACCGTCGTCATATCAGGAGAGTAAGGCCATAGTTGTAGGCGATGTTTGCTAACCTGCGTCCTCTTGCGTTTGTCCGCGTACTTCCCCATGCGCGATGATGCGCACTGAAATAACCTATGATGACCCATGGTGCAGGACACACACTCAAAATATCCGCTAATATTCTGGAATTGAGATTATTCGACGGCGATATATATAGGCGCTTATGAGAGTAAACATGAGTTTGTTATTTTTCATAGTGATGCAGACATACTGTTTGTCATCGTGAGCTGCAATTAGTTACACAACCTACGTCAGTTCACGCTGAACAAAGACGATGATTTTTCTGCACGCACCGTTTGTTGAAGACATGACAGCTTTGTACCCCGATAGTCTTATTGGTTGCGACAAATTGGGTTCACAAATGACAATGAGCGGAAACACGGTGGTGAGAACAAACTGACGAAAATCTGAAAGGCGTGTTTTAGTCCTCTGGCGTTCCATTGGATGACAGATGCAGCCTTGACTTCTTTACGAAATGATGAGGTGTGAGTAGTCATTTTCCTAATTGAGAGATTCAAGCACTGGGCTTAGGGCGTCCAATATTCCAAGTGCGCTTCGAGTAGATGATGTCTTAATGTCGACTAAGATCGCTCGGATGGCTTCTATGAGGGAACGCAGCACCGAGATCACTTGACGATCTGTTTTAGGCAAATCTTCCATGGCTGGAGACGGCTCTGGTGTGCCCGCAACCTGCTAAGGTTCCTTGGCAGAAGAGCGGGTCGGGAGCGTGGGCCATTACTCCGGAGAAGGAGGCTTCTCGGCTTCTTTCGTAGAAGTGGTGGCTCCTTTCGCAGCGCTACTGGGTGGAACCGCTAAAGAGTGGGAACTAGCATTTCGAGAATGTGCCTTCTTTGAAGACTTTCGATGACGCCGACGTCGACGCCGACGCCGGACTACTTCGGCTGCCTCCTTGCGTGTCGAGTTGTCTCAGGCCATTTGTCTGAGAACCGCGTGCTCCTTTTGGATTTGAGGACAGTCTTTCGACAAGGCAGCGTGAGGACCGCTGCAGTTGGCGCACTTCAGAGTAGTCGCCTGACAGGCGTCTTTGGCATGAGGTTCAGCGCAACGGGGACACAGTCGTGAGTTCGGGCATACGCCCTTGACGTGTCCCAGCCTGAAGCACTGATGATATTGAAGTGGCTTTTGGATGAATGGCTGAACCGGATGTCGGAAATGTCCAACTTTAACGTGGGACGGTATGCAGTCTCCCTAGAAAAACACTTTTACGCAGCGCGTATTTCCAAGGCGCCGCACTTCCGTAATGACAGTTCCCTCATTTGCAGGCTTGATGAGGGTAGGCAAGTAAACATTAGAAATGGCAATGTCGATGTCATAAATTACACCGGCAATTGATTTATCATTCATCGGGATAAAGGGGCACATTTTAATGCCGCCTAGCTCAGTCATTTGCTGCAGCTGTCCTAGCGCACTCACATCGTGCACGTCAATGGGGAGAATATTCTTCCGCGGGTTTATTTTACGTCCTTAATTTGATCTGGCACCGCACATTCCAGAGCAACGGAAAGGAATTGCCTGTTTAGAAGTCGTAAGTTGCTTAAGGAATCTTCCGGCATGAAGATGATAACGTGCGGCCCGCGCGCAGGCCTTGACTGTACAGTCGCTGTACTTGCAGGAGCTGATGCTGATGCATTGGTAGTCTTTCTCCTCGCCCTCTTACCCCGGAAAGGTATAAAGCCGTCATCGGATGTGTCGTCATCCGATATAGAATACAAATCAGTGTCTCCGGTGTCACTGGGGGAGCCAGCTCACTTCTTTGTGGTTGACGGGTGTGAGGACCTCTGACCAGGCGGGCCTCTGGCATTTTCCGTGGCCATCATCGCAAGACGTGGAAGTTGAGGCACCTTGAAAAACCGATTATTTCAATAAAAAGTGTAGAGCGCAGAAATCAACGTTCTTCTAAAGAGACACTTCTTCCTCTGGACAAAAGGTGCGAATGTGTAGTGTGTGTATATGTCCTGTTCTTAGGCTTGTATGTGTTACTTCTGTGTGTCGTGATTTTCATAGTGGCGGCCAATTACCAAGTTGTCGCTTAATAGCATGGAGTTTATTGTCTGTTTGCCTATCCCACGTGCTCTGCCAATAGCCTCTGAGCTTTTGTTTTGGAAAAGGTTTCAAGTCAAGTTCAGGGACTGATGTTGAGCATCACCAAACTGAGAAATAGATGGCAAGCTAGATGGGACTCAGAAACAAAAAAATAAGCTCCACCTCGTTAAACCCAGAATTGGGAACACACAATTACTTAAAAGCAAAAGAAGACAAACCTCTGTGTCAGAAATGTGGAGGTGAGCTACCAGTATATCATAATTTACTGTCATGCACTAAACTGGAAGAGCTAATGAAAAAAACATTGAAGCGTATTTATTATACATTCATACCGCGTCATCCTGCACTGCTTTTAAGTGAAGGTGCGCTTATTGGTAAATCACACGTTTTTAGCTTTCTGAAAGAAGCAGGCTTTTTAGACAAACTATTATTTCATACCCTGCGTCGTTTAAATACGCAGGAACACCTCGTTGAGCTTCCCACTTTTGAGAAGACGATCGAGGTTTTTTGGTTAGTGTCCTCGAGACCCTTGCCAAGACAAAGACTCGGCGAGGCCTCCCAAAATTTTAGGAGAACCATACCATGCGTTTGGTGCATGATAGCCTAAGTTGTCTATGCACAAGAAAAACCGAACCAGACCAAATGAAACCTAACCTTTGCTTAACATTCTCCGTAGGCAACCTTTAAAAATCCGTATCGTCCTTCCACAAATCCTCCCCAGAAGAAATAACGCTTAGCTACAATTTCCACCTGCATAGCAAAGCCCTAAAGTAATGTCCCTGAAAAGCTTCTATGTCTGTTCTCGATGATCTGTCTGGAACGTTACTTCCTTATCGGAATATCAACTCGGCCCGATAAAATCACAGAAAGCCGTCAGAGATTGTGTTAGCCTTTGTGCCACTTGACAGACGTATGCACTGCTCTAACTGGCACACGAATAACGATGACGATACAGGCGTTTGCGTCAGTCTATCTCCCCCGCAAACACGTACACAACGCAATGTCGACATGGTCGACTCGAAGCAGGTGCGATTGGGACACATTGCATTTTAGAATCGCGTTGCTGTTCCGGCAGCATTGAGTCACAATCATGCGCAGACACCGCATGTCTTGAGCTCTTTCGGAACACCTTGGTGCCATCTATGTAGCGGAGTGTCTTTCGTAGCTCCTTGAAAGTATCAGCAACACCCGCATGCAGAGAAAGCGTCAACGCACATTGTTCACAAATGAGGTATGTGCAGCATTTGTGTCGGTGTCGCGATGCGCGGCTTTTCACGTCGTCCAAAGTTGTTGCCATGACGAGGGGGGATAAATGACCATTTTCTTCACTGAAGGGCACGCTGAACCAGCTTTCGAAGTGATCATGGAATGACGGACGTCAGCATTGCAGTTTAAAACCTAACGAACCGGTATTCGCACAAATGACTCAAATTTGTCATAAGTCAAGCAGATATGAAGAGACACGTCGCACGCCTTAAGAACGTTTCATCTTCTGTCGACCCTATGCGAGAGCGCTGACAGCTTACCATATAAAGGTGATTGGTGGCATTAGCTCCAGCTAAGGTGCGTTGTCGGAATTGATTGCCGAGGCATGGTTTATAAACTCAACACCACAATGTGTGACGGCAAATGGCGTAAATTACGTCGTTGTCGCTCCGCCACAGGCTGCAGATCTCGCAGTGTTTTGCGTCTGACAGAACAGGCAAGGATAATGAACAAGCCTATAAATATAAAATACAGTCGCTCGTCAATGAAGTTTCAAAAGTCGTGTAACTTTTTACATTGAACTGTACGATTCATAACGACAGACACTCAGTTATGATGAAGAACTGCATTTCCTCATTCTGCCATGGTATAATATAGCAGTATATTACCTGACGGAATGAAGATGATGGCGAGTGAGCACAACGCCGCGGAGGCGTAGAGGAAGACGTAGGCGGTACGACGCTTCATGGAATTGATGAAAAATATGGCGATGAATTTCTGAGGATACTCCATGCAAGCCATCAGGAAGAAGCTCAGGTACGGATTGGTGCCCAAGAGTATGCTGGTGTAGGTCAAGTTGTAGTAGAGCAGAGTCGAAAATATTCTGCAAAAAGCAAACGACCTGTTTTGGGTATGCATGCGTGTGGAATGAGCGTCTGTTCTGAAAGGAGAAATTGCACTTTGTTGAGGTAGCACTGAAGAGAGCACAGGTAACTCCTGCTCTCGAAGAACACCTCTAAACATTCACACTTGAATGCACTGATACGTCCGAATATTCTCTCGGCCATGCAGGCGTTGGCATTTTTGCAATACATGCTGCGACTTGGTCGAGAACGTTTTACTTCAGGGCGAATTCACCATTACTTCTGTTTTTCATATGAATAAGACATTTTTTTCACATTTATTTCGCTTCAAAATCATCGTAATAGAGTTATACGCTAATTATGGTCTTTAATTATTTGCCTAACTTTACTACATCAGCTCTCTCCTTTCTCCCGTGAGGGTTTCCGCCTCTCAGCTATGGTTGCATATCTTATGGCAGTCTATACCCACTCCGTTTTTGTACCAATTCTTATTTATACCGTCGGACCTCTGATTTTTCGCATACTCTATATAACGATTTCACCCTAATAATTAGGTCGATGCAATAGCACAGTGAACTAAAATTCCTACAAAAATATTTTCAACTAGGCTGGACATTCGAGGTACACAGCGTGCGAGTTGCATGTTCGGGATTAGTGACATACAGAACCTCCAAGTATCATCGCATAACCCCTTACGCGTAACACTAGCGTGCGAATCGTAACCTCATGGTTACGTAATCTACATGGCATTAGCATATCTGAATTTATGGTTTCCCATTGGAAGGCTTGAAGAATAAGACTACAGAAAAAAGCGAAACCGGTGACATCAACTCACGATTTGAAGGACAGGATAATCGACGTCCTGCGTAAACACCGGTAACGAAACAGAGCGGCAAAAGTAGGCTTCTTCAGTGTGCGCTCCTGAAAGCAAAGTATTAATATCAACAACGCAATCCTGACTGTGGCCCGTGTAGCCTACTTAAATTTAATTACGCGTTAATGAACCCGAGGTGGTCGAAAGTTCCGGAGCCCTCCCCTATGGCGTCTCTCATAACCATCTAGTTGTTTCGGGACGTTAACCCGCATACATATTTATTATTATTATTATTATTATTATTATTATTATTATTATTATTATTATTCGAAAGGTAGGGATGGGGATCGATCGATACCCAGCGCTGCCACCAAATATAGAGAAGATTCATTGAGCGCAAAGCTGGTCACTGGTCACACAATGAGCAGTTCACGAAATGCTGCGGCCTCTGCTCCGGAGCACTTCCTCTTTGCTACAACATGAATAATCTATCACTGACATATCGAATGTTCCTTAAAAAATGCACATTGCTAGGCCAAACTTCGGGGACACTTGAGCTTCACTTTTAAGAGTTGAACGCGACAAGCGATATCCTGTCCCTAGGACGTTCTTCAAACACTAAGAGCGTGCTTTTTATTGTATGATGTTCCTTGAGAAGTGGAAAGAAATCCGGGATTACTTCAATGCAATTGATAAAGTTGAAAGTGCCTTGTGTAAGTGAAGCTCTCTCATTTGGTCGAATTCTTTGTAATCGGTTGTATGCTTTAAACAACGAGCAATAATGCGCGTGAAATGTTTTCGAACTTCCTATGCACCCACTGCGTGGCCTTAAAGGGATACGCGCAGTAAGTGTTCGCCATTTGTATTGAGTGGCTGCTTTAAACCACAAAGTCGTTATGCTAATCACATGTATTGACGCCCGGTGGCAACGTACGCTTTTACCACGCAATATTGCTGCAATATTACATGTTGTATTAGGAAGCCTGCATAGAGGGCGCGTGTGCTAGTAAAACATCAGTTATGTCATTGCATTTCCAAGCAGAGTAATTTTCGCTGTACTTGCAAGCAGACGCGTGAGCAGCGTTGTAGAACGTGCACCTGCTTGCCTTGCAAACAGTATCGGTAAGATCCTCACTTTGACCGGAATTTTTTGTTCTTGATTTTATTTGCCTATTTCTCGATTTTTTCAGTCATAGACAAAATAACGATTTGTCACTTACAACCAACGACGCCCACAGCGACGCTGGAATTTTTGTGAAATAAGCTCTTTACCGCTATCGCGTTGAAACTTACAAATTTCATTGCAGTAAGGCCACCTGCTGGCTTCCTGTACATACTCTACGTCGAGAAAGACAGAGATCTTTTCCCGCTGTCATTTCGACAGCATGAATTGCCTTGGTTTTCTAAATAAAATTACTGTGCAATTGAGCGCACTTGTCCATTTCATGATGATGGAACAAGAGGCAAATGTTTTTCTCGCCTTCGTGTGTGATTGCGCTGTTTTCCGCCGTGAGAAATATTAGAAGCCATTCTTATGTGAATCCAGAAATCTCGCCTCTAATGTGAGATATTCGTATTTGATTTTCAACGCCGCGAACATGCGGTTGTGCCGAGGGGTGGCCGAATTACTGCGGATTTTTCGTTAGGCCAGACACGAATGCTACGTGGCAAGTACAGCAACTTGAATGAAGGCGCACCGTGGCAATAGGTTGCGTGGGAAAGCATGCACTTGTCGAAGGTGTCGGGATCTCCTGGCCCTAACTCTTAAATTTGAACTGTATACTATACCACCTTTTGATGCCTCATACGTAGCGTTAACCATGAAGCTACGCAAAAACTGACCCTTCGAGAAAATCTTGTATCCGTTCCTCGGCGACAGTGACCAGTCATCGCACGTTCATCAGCGGATTGCTTATGTCTTGCGTGTGACGTTCGGTAGCATATTCAGTTTTTGTGCTGTGCGCAAAAAAAAAGTGTCGTTTGCACAGTTTCATTTACTTAACAGCATAAAACTGAGATAGCCATTCCGGTTAAGCTTCTTTCCTTTTCTGTTTGTTTTTGCTGAGAATGAAGCAGTAGGTGTTTCTCACCTATTTACAACATCAGATTTACAACTTCAGAGAGACAGGTAAGCATTACATGTGATATAGAAAGAAGCATGCAGCAATCGAGATCATGTTTGTGACTGACCACTGACCTTACTTTGAGACGATAACTCATGAAAACCCCGCGAAAATGTTCGCGGGGTTTTCGCGAACGGCCCGGGTTGGATCCTCATTTCTATTGTTTCTCTTATTTGCATCTTTTAATTGTCACGGACAATATGGTAACTTTTTGCTCACAATCAACAATGCCGACGCCAGAATTTCTGTGGCAAGCTGTTTCCGTCTCGCCTGAAGAAAATGTACGTACCATGAATACATAAACTGTTTGTGAACAAGAATACTGCGTCTGATAAGCAAACTAATAATGACCATAAAATATTGGGGTGCCTTTAAGCTGCCCCCTAAGAGTGTACATATTTAAAACTGGCTTGCCTTAGTGAAGCTTTTGCATGCAGCTGCATTAGGAGTAATGTGTAGCATGCTCTAAACCGCACGTGGAAATTTTTCGAGCTTCCTATACACCCACTATACGTGGCCTCAAGAGAAAAGGCGCAGTAACGTGTCGTCTGCCTTTTGTAGTGGGTGGCGTGCTTCAAAGCATTCATTCGTGAAAATTGCATGTTCTGACACCCAATCGCAATATACACATGTAGCATGCATTATAACTGCGATAATATATGTTGCATTGTCAAGCATATATATAGGACTCGTGTGTTTGTGAAGTATGCAAGTTAATTTCCCTGCATTTTCCAGCAAATTAAAATATTTTCACTATCGAAGCGAAAGCGTGGCTCTGTGGTGAAATACTTGCTTACCACGCAAACTACCCAGGTTCGCTCCTCGCTCACACCCAAACGTTTCTAGTTCTTCAGTTTGCATCTTTTGGTAATTTTCAGGTCACGCACAAGATTGATTTTTCCTCACGACCAACGAAGTCCACACCGCAATTTAGCTGAAACGTGCTCTTTGACGCTATCGCGTAAATAATAATAATAATAATAATAATAATAATAATAATAATTGTTGCCAACACCTAAATACCTCTCCTGCTCGACACATGGTCAATGACAGCTAGATTTCGAGTAAAAACTAGATGATAAACTTGACAAAAAAGTATACAATCAAATATTTTATTTTGCATTACTAAGTTAGACCTACTAGCATGCCACACATTCAACGTGTTTAAAAAATAAATGGAAAGCGCTAACATTTTCGTAACGCATTGTACAGAAGCAGCTTCTTTGACCTCCACGTGTCTACATATGTCGATTGAGACAAGTTCAATAATGGTATGGGCTACACTTGGCTGATATATTTCGTCTGACATTCCACACTCTGTGCTCAGGCCAGCGCTGTTCGAACCTTCCAGATTGCTCGAGCCACTATAGGCCGGCTTTATGCCTATCTTTGACATAACTGACTTAGGGAATACATAGTCATGGCAAGCACTTGTTATGCCCTCTTAGTCATTGACGCACAGTTTCTGCACAACGCACCGATATGATCCGCTAAGAGAACGAAGCAGTGAGCGGTGCCAAACAGAACTATTGAAGTTCCTGCAGCGCTGGTGTCCTCGTGCGTCACCGGAAATGTGAGAGCAGTTTGTCTTTTAGGAGAGAAATATTGAGTCGCAGAAATATGTTTTTTCGTTGCGATATGGTGGGTCGACCAACTACGCATGCTTTGAAACAACTTCACACCTGCACGCAAGGCATGCTACCCTCGCGTAATAGGAACTCACTTCGGCAATTCAGTTTCCGAATTCATCATTCTTAAGCCACTCCCGTCACCAATAAAAATTTGAGAACCCGCAACAGGAACCTTCAAAAGCCAGCCGAATGTGGCTCGTACCAATTTTTCAAATATTACTAGTATTTCAAATACAGTTTTTTAGAAACTAGCTAGAACACCCGCTAGATTTTATGGTAAGAAGCTAGGGTTTCCCACTAGCAGCCGCACAAAATTTTTACCAGCTAAACGACCACAAAAAAGCTGAATGTAGCGAAAAAAAAGGTAAGCCAACACTGAAGAGACCTGCCGCATAAATATTGGGCTGCTATCGCGTATTGCCATCGTTATCATCATCAGGTTTCGCCTATATTATGTTTACTGCAGGACGAAAGACTCTCCAAATGATCTCCAGTTTACTCTATTCTGGACAAGCTAAATATATTTCGTGCCTGCCAGCTTCCAGGTTCACTAAGCCATGTGATCATCTGCCACCCTTGGCTACGTATCGTATCTTGTACATATTAATTGCGTAGCTCGAACTGTTTCGCAGTTACATGTTCTTCGCATTGCCTGGCCGGCTCAACTCTATTTTTTTTTCATAACGTCACTTGAAATTTCGCCTGCACCTTTTTAATCTCTAATCCACAGTGTTCGTTCCTTCGGGTGTTGCCTCATTCTTACTCTTCTGAAGTCCATAAATTGACGAGGACGGACAGACGGAACACACACACGACCTCTATCATTCTACTTCCACCGATAAGCGGCCGCCGCGGCAGGGATTTCATCCCACCACTATAGAGTCAACAACTCAGCACCATAAATATTAGAGCAATGCCGTGTGTCACCTACGAGCTCGACAGCAGAGCCTACTGCCAGTTTTGGCCTCATAGTAGATCCACAAATGCTTTTCTTTAAAGGTGCTTGTAATGCTAGCGGTGTTTTTCATTTGCACTGTTCGTACAAAATCGCCTGTATTATATTACGGTTCTTATCCTGTACGGTGCTTTACTGGTGCTTATCCTCTATATTACGGTGCTTATCCTGTTCTTAGCAGTGATTTGTTTGCTTTTTTTTCTCCTTCCTTCTAAGCCTTTTAGGCTGTATTTCCTTCTGTCGTTTTACTGTTTAGCCAGCTTTGTTGGCCCAGCGAATTAATTTTAGATCCTGAATTAGTCACTTTAATAAGTTGTCATTTCTTGGAATCTTTTGAATCGGGGACAGTTCACGTACTTGCTTAGGTGTTTTATTTCCGTTCTGAAGTGTTCGTTCAGATGTCGCTCTAGTAACTGTTTCATTCATTCCATCTGTGCATCTATGCCCTTCTTCTTCAAGAACATCTTGTATGGTTTGAATGGATATTCTGAATTCCGCTTTCTCGATGGGCCTTATGTCATCAGGGTTTGGTTTGTCAGTGTTTTTCAATGACTAAGGGCTCCCATCGCGGAGACTAACGTATGAGCATAAAATTTCACATTGCTACAACTTTTATGCCATCGTCACCACAAAAAAAAATATTGATTCGTTTCTTCGCTGGGGCGTTTCCATTCCCATTGTTACATAAATATCGCTACATTTAGTGTTGCTAGCGAAGTGCATATAGCTTATAACAGTTATAGCTTACACGCGCCAAGGAGACACGAAGCACAAAATAGTTTTTTTTTTGTGGCGAAGATGGCATAAAAGTTGGAGGCAAGGTAAAATTTTATGCTCATACATTAGTCGCCGTGATGACAGCAAGAAACTTCGCAAGAAACAACCTCCGTAATCTCACTCTACGCCAACGCGAAAGAAATGTCTTGAACACGGCTCTGCAGTAATTGAGTTTACCTTTACAACATTCGACACTTTTATGAGTAACATTCTCTCATTTTGTGTGCAATGTTAAAACACGCTGCTCTCTCTCATGAAGCGGGCGTACTCTTATCTACACTACCAGCTGTTATCAGTGTTGACAGTATTCGATCTTAATTTAGTACACGGTAAACGAAAACAATCGCACATCATTTTATTATTTGATTGTACTCACACTCTCCATCTTGTCCTCGTAGAATTTTATAATTTGGTTCACGTCAACGCTACCAACGTTGTTTTTTGTGGTGGCCTTTTTCAGGATACTCTCCTGCTTTCTTGTAGTGCTTCGTAGCCAGCAGCCACAGTGGAGACTCCGGTATGAACCTGAGCAGTGTTCACGTATACATTTCAACGCGCTGTAGTGTCTTGAAACCTTAACGCAGGGGTCTCAAACACGTGGTTCAGGGGCCACCGGCATCCTGCGCACCTCTAGTTAGCGGGTGGCACGCAGAAGGCTGTTCGTCCCATCTTTTTTTTCCTTCGGAAGTAAATTCTATGAGCTACACATACGTGACTGGTCCCAAGGATTTCTTTAGTGCGATAAGGCCGCCGAACACCATGATTTAAATCATAACCGTGGAACAAAAGACTGTATTTCAGATTGGACATCCACATTTGAATCATTGTGCAGATCACTATCAATGTGTTTAAAAGAAACTAACGCGAAACACCCTTCGGAAATGGCCCGTACATGAGAAACGGGAAAGGCATTGTTCCAAATCGAAACATTAGCCAGCTGAAATTCTGCTTCAATCTCCCCCCCCCCTCCCCGCCCAGCAACCTTCATTACGTTCCTGATGTTTTCGGCAGAATAAACCAGTTAACTTTAGGACCCACTATTTAAATATATCAGTTTCCGACCCAAAACAACATAGGGCCTTTCACGGCTACGCTAGCGAAGTGCATATAGCTTATCACTGTATGCCGTCCTCTACGTGTACATAAGGCCGCAAAGAGTGTTCCATTGAAAATAATGAAAACGTGGCCCCTGTGGAAGAGCAGCAAGCCTAAGTAGCTTCTTGCTCACAGGTGAGCTTTGATAAATAAACGCCTAATTTTCGACATCCTTGCTTTGCTCATTTTTATTACTTGCAGCGCCAATTGAGTAGCTACAGCGAGATAAATTTAAATAATTTCCCAAGAAACCATGTGTAGCTATATGGATGATGAGGCAAAGAAGGTGAATTGATCAAGAGCTCCTTTATTTAGTTGGCAGCATTGATGAGGTTGCCTTACAGAGAATACGAACGACTACAACTAGCCACTAATCGATATAGAAAAAAAGAGGAAACTATAGGCAACCCAAATTCAGTTTTCATTTTGCAACTGCTAGTCATGTAGCAAAGCCATCGTGCTGTATCCTACACATAACAACACATATTTGTGATAACATGGGCTTGCATTAACGAAAATTAATTACAGAATAAGTAAACAAGATAATCATCGGAAACCAGGTTATGGTACTGAGCGCACGAGCAAATTTCATTTGCAAATTCATAGACACTTCAGTCAGTGGAGCTCCATCCTAATAGCTTTTTTTCTGCTGCGTTGTCGTTGTTAAAGTAAGATCATGCCACGGAACAAAACATATGTTTAAGCTTGACAATGTTTCCACGTGGTTCTTACAGTTAGTAGAAGAGAGAATATTTATGCCTATATAATATATTTACTTTGGCAATGAAAGAAATATTAACACGGGAAACTTTGCTAACGAAAATAAGCTGACGACCTGCCCCGCCGTGGTGGCCTAGTGGCTAAGGTACTCGGCTGCTGACCCGCAGATCGCGGGATCGAATCCTGGCTGCGGCGGCTGCATTTTCGATGAAGGCGGAAATGTTGTAGGCCCGTGTGCTCAGATTTGATTGCACGTTAAAGAACTCTAGGCGCTCGAAATTTTTGGAGCCCTCCACTGCGGCGTCTCTCATAATCATATGGTGGTTTTAGGTCGTTAAACCAGACATATCATCAGGCTGATGACCTGTGACCAGTCCCATGTGATCAATTAGGTAAAACACAAACGCACGTATGGAAGTCTTTGCAGTGGAAGTGCCCTAATTACAAACCGCAGTTAAGTTACAATGGGTGATTTCTGTTGTCTTTGCGTAAACTGAAATAGTGAATAATGTTGCCTAGATTACCTTAAACAAAGAGTTATTGGAAAAATATAAGTCATAATTGAAATGCCACTTTATTTGCCCTATGGGCTTAGGAAACATCACATAGGTAAAAAGGAACCGGAGTAAGATTTTTGCTCTGACAGTGGCATGAGTCTCCATTTTCTATAACATTTCGTTAAGCCAAATCAGCGCTTCAATTGATTGCGACATTTGATTCTCGTGGATATTAGGATATCATGTAAGGCTACATGTACTTTTTTGTGTATGCCCGTTCTGTCAAAAAAGCAACAGAGGTTTCTTTCAGAACTCGTCTTCCTACCCGTAGCCAACACCAAGCAGTCAAATAATTGCAAATAACGAAAGAAAATGTCTCACAGCCATAGGAAAAAATTGACCAAGTAGGATAGCGATATGACGATCTGCATGTGCTGCCAGTCCCTTATGAGCCACCCGATGCCAGTCAGGGTGACGAGGCCCGTAGTCCATCCACCGCTAGCCACCAGCATGCCTATAGCTCGGTGGCGGGTAGAAAGCACCTCCATTGCTTGAATAGAAATGAGTTGCCGTAAGGCCAAACATAAGCAACATGACAAATTTTAAAATGCGACCGCTGTTTGCGCTACCAACATTGCACTATTGAAAATATTCACAGCTTAGCATGCAATTTCTGTAGCTCCAATTATAACGTCTATTAACAAACTACAGAACAGGAGTGGCTATCAAGTGAATGCTGCGGCGACAGATACAGAAAAATTGAGCACTGCTGGCTGAGTTATTCATTTATATCAAACACACTTTCAGCGAAGCTGTTATGCCTGATCCGCTTTGCGATTTAGACAAGAAATCAGCATTATCACGCTGGTAGGGCCATATCAAATCAAGTTAACCTTAGCTGTGCCTAGTTAGGCAAAGTTAATCATCACAAATTCTAATTAAGGCATAGGTGATTAGTGTAATGTTCAATTATTTTTATCTCATTAGACTAATCGCTCATCATTTCTAATTAGGCTGAGTTCAAATTATGGTTGCAGTCATGCACATCTCTGCAAGAGGAACCGAGTTAACTCCGAATAAGACGTCTTGCTAGTAGTAGTTAGTATAATTAGCTAATTGAGCTTATGTTGACCAGATATGCGAGGTCATTAAAACCTAAATATGGAAATTAGACCAAATAAACTCATTAAAGTGTTTACAAGAATGCTATATTAGGACTCGGTCAACTTGCAACGGAACATAATTGAAAATAAGGCTCAAACTTACATATCAGGTTACTTAAGCAAACATGACTACTTAAGGCACTTAGCTTGCTTGATGCTGGCATGACCAAGCGATTCTCAATCGAACCTGATCGGTGCCTAGCAAATACAGTGTAATAATTTGAACTCTTTCTGCTTTGGCGTGTGAACTCACGTGTGCCTACTAAAGCCAGGACCAAACGAGTGCATGTCGACCAGCTCTGCGCCCTATTCATGCATTCGTAGGCTAAAATACGTGGCGCAAGGTGCCAATGAGAAGAACAAGAAGAGACAGAAAGAGCACCAACTCACAACTAAGTTTATTTTCATGAAGCATTCACAATACATAGGCTCTTGGAAAACATGCGCAGACCATTTCATTCACCGCACGTGCAGGCATGAACATTTTTGATGATGTAATAAACGATTATTGCAATCATGATATCTGAGAACCAGCAACAAACAGATATGCCTGATGTAAAGACGTCGAAGAAAAACCAAATACACTCAAGCCTGCGCAAAAAATGCGAGGAAAAAAGCAGCAAAAAGGACTGACAGACACCTCGTAGCAACCGTCTAAAGTACATCTACATCCAACAACTGGAATTCACTATGATGCAACAAAACTGAAGGCACGCTGACGCACGAGTCAACTTTTTTACTTATGCGAAAGGCTTCGAGTAACTCCCGCGCAAGTGCATCCCGGCTCCTTCCAAGTAGTCGCGTGTGATCGAACTGCGGCGTGCAGCCACACGAAGTACAGTGGAAGGCCAAATGAGACCCTGTTCCATTACTAATTGATAAATAATGCTCCATTAAACGGTCATTTGTAGAGCACCCTGTCAGGTCTATATAGACCTTGCCACAGCTCAGGGCAATTTCATAAACAGTGCCCACGGCACAACGCAGGAAGAGCTTTGCATGCTTCTTATCGCACACCACCTTGGCACCTCTTAAAGAAATGTGGGCACAGAGCCTTGAAAGCTTATTCGGAGCAGAGAAAACCACCGGCACATAGTGGCGATTTGCAACCTTTTTCAGGTTGTGGGAGATTTTGTGCATGTATGGTACAACATGCGGTCTTTTCCTCTGTTCTTGCAATGGATCTGGCCTCCTGCGTTCCCCTTTCAGCCTCTGAAGCAATGTTTCAGACACACTGAATAAGACGCAATAAGGAAACCCGGCTGCAGTGAGCCGCGATATTTGACAGGAAAAACTATCACACACTGTGTGCTAGCATGACTTGGACAGCGCAGAAAGAAAACACATAGCAGCTATAGACCTTTTCACCACTTTTCAAAGTGGTGAAAAGTGGTGAAAAGGTCTATAGCTGCTATGTGTCTTAGTCGGTGTGTCTGAAACATTGCTTCAGAGGCTGAAAGGTGTTGAAAAATTGTTGCAGGGCCCAAAAAGTGTTGCAGGGCTACTTGAAAAAGTGTTGCAGGGCCCCTTTATCGAAAAGGCTGCGGAGAATTCTGAAGAAGCGAATGGTGACATCGGCGACTGCACATGACGGGCCAACGGGCGCAACCAGAGAGAATATTTGCGACCAGAGTTATTCAGTTATACCAGTTGCGAAACTATGTTCCGAATCCGAACTGGTTATGTGGGAGACCATAAACTTGTTGCATCACACGAAGTGTCGGGATTTTCATACATTGGGACTAGGAAAGTGTTTGCAAGTCGTTTGACTGAACAAGTCTGGTGTGCGATGACAAGGAACTGTGCGGTAAAGGACCCGATAAAAAACGATAGGTTTTAATTGCTGCGAACGACAAAATCGTAATGACAACGCTTGCTCTTCCAAATGCACGCAGGAAAGCCCCCTTGAGTGAGAAAGAGCCAACGTCAAGTGAGGGAAGGTAAACTTCTTGGGACGTTTTGCGCTGTCCGAGGTTCGATGTATCAATTGTTCCCGCTATTTATGCTTGATGCAGCATTAGATCTTTGTAATCATTGGCGTTGGATCATCGTTGTGTTCAAAAGTTGGTTGATGTAAAGAACAATTCTATTTATACGAGATCGACTACTAGGATTTTCTGTGCAAGAACAATGATATTATATGCCACGCTGTAGTGGGGCATTCTCAATTAACATTAAGCACCTGAAATATACGCGCAATATATGTTTAGATACATGGGTGCGTTTGTATTTCGCGCCTATCAGAATGCGGGTGCCGTAGCTCTAGGAGCTGCATCTTACCTGCTAAGCTACACCACCGGGGCCCAAAGCTTCAAGCTGAAGACAACATGGCTTGACCGTGCACAGCGCATGTGCGCTCGGTACAATTATTATTTTGTTAATTAAGAGCTTGACTGTAACTCATTGTTGTCTCGGCAACGTTGTTTCAGCGAAGCTATTATGACTGACGTCGCTCAATATGTGTTCAGTGCGTGTCATTGCAGTAAATTCCACACCTGACGCATAAATCAAAGTTCCTTCATTAAAGCCATAACGGTCATACAGCGTAATTCGCAAGGTGATAGGCGTTTAGTGCAGCGTGGAGGTCCGCAATTATTGTAATGAGCTCTACCGGATACAGGCAAACCTTCCCATGATCTTAGCAACAGCAGTAACCGAGAGCTTATAAAACCTAGCAAATCGGCGGCTAAAAACTTCAAAAAGCTACCTGAAAAGATTGACTTACCTTTCTGCAGTTGAACCTACATTTGGACATTTTCCAAATATCGGTCTTGCAGTTGATAGATACACACGTCTTTGTAGCTCTATTTGTACATCACTAGTTGAGCTGAGCGTGCACGAATTTGTGCGAACTTAAGAATTAAGATACTCGTTTGTTGCTCAGTGGGTTTACTAAAAAAGAGGCTGTTGCGGCAACCTCAATGCGGCAGTGGTTTATATGCGCCTTTCCTCTTCTGTGTGTTGAGGCTATAGAAATCCTATGCGCATTTCTACAGTATAAATAACTGAGATACGTTTCGGTAGCATACACTCCTGATAGCCTCCGCTCACACTGAATTTAAACGAAAGTCTTTGATCTATAATAAATACGTTTGTAATGGGGCCGTACGGCACTACAGCAGCGCGCATTTCAGCCCTGATGAAAAGTGGTACGCACTCATCATTCGAAGAAAAAGCAGTATTAAAAAGGCCTCATGCCTTCTGCCAATGTATCAATATGCCTGTTCATTTCGGTTGCTTGTGTTTGTGTTTTACGAGCGATTCAGAAGGTCACTCCTGCAAAGTTGTATGATTTTACACCAAGCACCAATTTAGCTTAATTATTTGTAGACTGGATCTCCGGAAATATTTGCACATGTCGAGCTTTTGCTGTTGCCACACCTGCGCGTAGCATAAAAACATGAGATGTTGGAGTTTATCATAGGACCATGAAAATTTGTACGCAGTGAAAGCGTGTCTCTAAAACGCGATCTTATGCTTCATTTTTATATGAGCGAAAGACTGCTTTTGTCACTGTCCATCAAATGAGATTGTGTTTATTTTTTGTTGTTTATAACAACTTTTTTGAAGTTTAGATTTCTCACCTATAGTAAACGTGGCATTTTGGATGCCGCCGACACCAATAGACGCAATGAGGCGTCCAATGTTGTATAACCAAAAAGTTGGTGCAAACGTTGTAAGCAGACCCGCCACGATGGGCAAGGGCATCGACAAGAGCAGCGACTGCCTTCGGCCGTACCTGCAGAAAGAGGGAATATTCCACAATGAGAAAGTACAACTGCCAGTTCTCGCTTGAAAATCAATAATTTGATGGTCGTATGGCGGAACGTATTCATCACAGCCGCACTCTTGCACGAAAATGTCGGAATAGTGCACATTACTGCAAATGTATGAGCCGTGTTTTGAGAGCACAAAAACACAGGCTGTTGAAAGTCGTCAATATTTATCAGCTGCACAAAAAATATTGGCAGATCTCACGTACAGTGAGAACCAATTATTTGCGAAGCACGAATGAGATATGTTGATATATCACTCTAAATTCAGCACAACGTTACGACGGGGAGGTAAATGATGCCGTATATGACTTCCGTGTCATGGTTATCATGTTTGGATGGCTCGTTTACATTCGTTATCTATTCACGTCACATGGTACCAAATTTCAGTATATGTGCAGCTGGCGAAACAATCGTGAGCACGCTATGAGCGTGGTACATTGTTATGTTCTTACACGACATGCGTGTCAGGATTATGTTTGCACCAGTCATATACTTTTGTCATCCATTCACGTCACGTAAGACTGAATTTGGTATATGTGGAGCTAGCAAAATGGCCGCTAGCGCACCATGAAGGGCCCAATATACTCCAATGTAGCGTTGACGCACGTGCACGCTGGCCACAGCGACGCTACGTTAGCGAAACGCGAGCACTCTATAGTCTGACGCCAGACGCGACCAGCGTCCGTCGGCGCGGCTCTACGGCAACCAGCGCGAAATGCGACATGCTGAATTTCGCGCCAATGCGTTACCCAGACAACACTGCGTCTCCCTTTTTTCGTGACGGAGGGACGCCGGTGCGCGCGGAAACGCGCATGCATCGAAGCAACGCAGCGCGGCGCACGCCTGCGAGTATATGACAGGACTGGCGCCAGGCGTGGCAAAGCCGGCGTGACGCGACGAAATGAACGCCGGCGAGCACGCGCACGGCGTCACGTCAAATGTATTGGCGCCTTAACTGTAGCATGTGGTCATGTTCTCACATGACACGCATCTCATGATTATCATGTTTGCACTAGTCACGTATCTTCGTCATTCATAGGCGTCACATAATACCAACCTTGGCATATCGAAAGCTAGCGAAACGGCCGTGAGCGCATCAAGAGTGTGGCATGCAGTCATGTCACGACATGACCCGCATGTCGTGATTATCATGTTTGGACCTGTCATTTACCTCTGTCGTCCGTTCACGTCACGTAATACCGAGTTTGGTACATGTGAAGCTAGTGAAACAGCTAGTGAAGCTAGTGAAACATCATGAGTGTAGCATGTAGTCATGTTTTTACACGACACGAATCTCATGTTTATTATGTTTGCAACAGCATAATACCTTCGTCATCCATTCATGTTCCGTAATACCAACTTTGGTGTAAGTGAAGCTAGCGAAACTACCCCCAGCGCATCCTGAGCGTGGCATATAGTCATTCTATTACATGACACGAATCTCATGATTATCATGTTTGCACCAGTCACATACCTTCGTCATCCATTCACGTATCGTAATACCACATTTGGTATATGTGACGCTAGCGAGACGGCCGCGAGCGCATCATGAGCGTGGAACGTATTCATGTTGTTACATGACACGCATGTCATAATTTTCATGTTAGGGTCTGTCGCCTGCGTTCGCCATTGAATCATGTTAAACCATACCAGTTTTGCAACATGCCATGTGAACGAAACCACCGCAAGAGCTACAGGACCATGAAATGTAAATCATGACATTCATGACATGCATGTCATAATTTTCTTGGTATGACTAGTCAAACATACTCATACAGTCATGTTACGCGATACCAAGTTTGCTATTTATACCATTATCGAAACGGTCAGGAGAGCTAAAAGTCGTAGGCGGCCTGATAGATAGATAGATAGATAGATAGATAGATAGATAGATAGATAGATAGATAGATAGATAGATAGATAGATAGATAGATAGATAGATAGATAGATAGATAGATAGATAGATAGATAGATAGATAGATAGAAGATAGATAGATAGATAGATAGATAGATAGATAGATAGATAGATAGATAGATAGATAGATAGATAGATAGATAGATAGATAGATACGCTGTAAGTCGCCAAAGTTCGCTAAGAAATGCTTCGCATTTAAAACCATTTTACAGCAACCATCATGTGCGCTCCGTTCATCACATGTTTTGACACATTTTCAATGTCTTTACAAATAGTATGCTCACTTATGGAGTCAGGGTGTATAGAGTAACAGTGTATAAAGGAACACGAATAAATATACAGCGGCTCCGCAGCTGACACATTCCTACTGACAGAAAATGATGAAATTTCAATAAAGAAGGATATGAGGCAGAGAGACAGGGAAATGTGATCTCTTCGTTGCTATAGGATAGGGTGGGGTACAATGAGCCATGATGCAAAACGTGACATTTTCACTTTGCCGTCCTTTGTAGCTAGCACAAAACAACTTTTTTTCTTTACCAGCAATGAGTGCTGTACTTCTTAAAGTTTTCATATGTAAAAGTTGATGATTGCTCACAGTTTTCGCGTGGGAAAAATTACGCAGCTGGTGTCAGTGTTTCCGTGACCCGTCAAAGAGGGGCGAATTTTTGCTAGGTCAAATTTTTGGATCACTACATGAAGCTACTCCAGCGTAAACACAGCAACTTAAATATTTATTTTGTTACTTTAGACGACGAGGTACACAACACCAAACGTTTTTTTCAATTTTTTCTTAGGAACCAGCAGAAGCTTTTTTTTTAATTCTGACATATCAGACGGGCAAAACATGACAAAGAAGGCATCCAGTAGCCTTTGCGAGGGTCCTATGAATTGAAATATTAACTTAATACACTCAATATTTATTATATTTCTTTGTTTAGTAAGGTTTTCTACGTAGAAGCTAATATATTAGAGAGCTTTCTTGGAGGAAAATGGCATGAAACGACACTGATTGCCAATCATTATAAGACTCCCTCCATTCGAGGTCTATCAAAGTTTTTCCGTGTTCCCAGGATGCCCTCAAAAGACGTAAAAAATTGCTCAATGTCCATGTGAAGTAGTTAACAAACACGTCCTGGGATTTAATTTTAACAAATTTTCTCCAATACCCTCTTTGAACACAATACAAGCGCTACAAAATCTGAATCTAGCACAGTTTTAAAATCTTGTCTCGCAAAGCCCGGTGGAAAAAGTTAAAAGCCATAAAACGCCAGTTCTACATCAAAACGGCAAAAACAGGTGAAGATACGTCAGAACTATCTAGCCTCCAGTTTATGAATATTCCAATGACCTGCAAGCGTTCAACAAAAGACAACGTTAGCACAACGAAAGACTGGCCGTGCTTGATCTGCAAGGAATGTTGGAGTTCCTGGTTCTGTTTACATTCTATGCGTGGAATCGAAGTACCCGGCTGCTTATTAAGACAATGTAAGGGCCCACAGAGTGAATTTGAAGTCTTCCTACTGTAAAAGCAAGAAACTGGATGAAAGATCTTTTTTCACGCTGTGTTCTTTTGCCCCGCAGGTTTAAGCAAATTAAGACATCTCGAGCATTTTCAATTTATTTTTAAAGTACGGTTTTGAACAGTGGCCTCATGGCAAAATTTATGTAGCACATACTTGCACCTAAAGGAAAGTTTTTTCATTGATGTTTGGTTGTAAGTAGAGAAATAAAAGTAAACATTCACTGTTTTAAAATTTGTGTTGCCTTTTACACCCCCCCTACCCTACTTCCCGTGCTGACAAGAGTTTCAGAGAGCACTGGCTACAGTAAGGGACATTAGGTAAGGTAGAATATTTTAGTAACCTGCGATTCGCTAATGACATTGCTCTGATGAGTAACTCAGGGGTCGAAGTGCAGATCATGATTACGAAAACCGAGAAGGAAATCAGAAAGTCGGTTCTGAAAACTACTGTGCAGGAAGATGAAATAGTGTTCTGTCGAGACTGTTTGTTGGCCTGCTTGGAACTTGCCTAATCACATAATTTTGCCACGAAATAACACAATCACAGAGTAAAGAGACCCACAACGACAAGGGCAATCGGCACTTCCAACTAAATAAGACTCAGCGCGAACTCAGAAATAAATGTACAACGTACAGTCATGCCCAGTCTTCACGCAGCCTTACGCTATCGAGCTATCAAACAATCTGTTTTCCGATACCAACAACGTCACCGACGTGTCGCTGATACACCATTCTCCTTTCTTTTTATGTTATAGGCTTCCATATTCTCATGTGCAGTTTGTTACCTACTTCTACCTAGAATCTTGATATCTTCAAAACTTGGTTCACACTTGCAGGTTTTGCAATGTATAAAAAATGCGCCAAGTCATCCTTCATAATATCTAATTTGTGCTTCCTATCTTGTTCATAATTACAGCACCCGGTCAGCCCGATGTGCGTACCTATATTCAATGTGCACTATAAAAGTAAAATTATGGAAAATAACCCTTAGGTACTTATATTTTGTCACAAGAGAGAGATATGTGTTGTGTTCATGACAGATGTAATCTTAGTTTTTTCGCATGAAACTGCCGAACAAGCATTTCTTCTGAACAATGCCGCCCAGATCAGTATGATGCCAGACATTCAAATTGATGTTAGTGGCGTCGATTCATTATTACGCCGCTTAGATGCAACAAAAGCCATTGGACATGATGGACTGTCCCAAGTAGTTCTTAAAGAGTGTCATGAGATATTGCTCTATATTTAAGTATAATCTATGAACTCTTCCTCGAAACTGGTCTTATTTCCCAAGATTGGAAGACAGCAAAACGTTACACCTGTTTTCAAACCTAGAGATAAAAAACTCAGAGAAAGTTACACACAAATCTCATTTACGTTGGTGTGTTGCAAAGTATTTGAAGATACTTTACAGACCAATAGATTTAAATTACTTGATTCAGACGTTTTATTTACTCCCTTCCAGCACGGTTTTCGGAAAGCGTATTCGTGTAACACACGACTAATAGAATTTCAGCATTTCG